TTTTGATTTCAGAAATGCAGGCACATGCCTGCAGTGGCTCAGGCTAGAAGTTGGGGGGTGCTAGAGCAGCCCACCCTTCCCTTCAGGCTGGAGGGAAGCTGAACTGAGGGGGGTGTGGCTAGGCCCCAGCATGCTGAATATGACTGGGGAGGGGTTTAAACCCCCATTCTGGCCTGCAGGGACCCCAACTGGGGTCTGCCTGGCTTTTCCTCATGCTGCCTGGCTGGCTTATGGCTCAGCATGGCCAGCAGTGGCATAGCACGGCCCTGTGTACCAGGCGCCAGGCACAGGGCACTACCCCTGCGGCTTCCCCACTGCTGTCTCTGGCAGGGGGGCCTGCCCTGGCCATACTGGTAGGTGCCACCTGTGCCACTGAACTGCAGTCGGCCACCAGGCAGGCAGACGGTGGCGAGGAAGCTGTAGGGGTAGCACCCCATGCCTGGTACACAGGGCCATGCTGCGCCTATGGCTTCCCTATCCCCACTGCCTGGAGCATGGACAGACACTGGCCGGCATGGCCCCCTGAGATGAAGTGGGGAGGGAGGGGGTTTGTTTAAGTGTGTCAGATTTAAAAGCTGGCAAGCATTTACAAATATGGTTCCAGGTCTAGCAAACCTCTCACTAGACAAAACTGAGAGGTCACCAAGTTGATTGCATTCACACACACATCAAAAAGTACTCGCTTTGCCCAAGTTTCTGAACTCTTTGCAGTAGTTTCTGAACTCTTGATGCTTTAAAAAGTAAAACAATGCTGGTAGGGAGAGAAGTGAAAGAAAGGCACCTGGACATGGCAGGTGGTAAACAAAGACCCTTAGGTAAAATCCTGCTTGTGATTTTTGCCATTCATTTTAGTAGACACAGGTCACATCTACGTAAGGAGGATAGTTAGTCCACTTTTACACAGTACCTTATATTTGCCATTTCAGGAATCAAAACTCCTGAATCTTAGTTTCCTCACCAGCTGGAGTCAGAGAGATGAAAGTTTGCAGATATTTTCAATGCTCAGTTTGTTAAAGGGCAGTTAACTGATTATCATGCAGCTCTGAAACACTAAGCATTTTTCTTCCTTTTTAAAAAATATAATTGTATGTGGGTAATATATAGTCTGCTTGTTTGGACAGATGAGAAAAATGCATTTATTGTGTGAGGTTATGAAATAGGAATAGAGACAGGAAGGAGGAATTAGATTAATTTTTTATTAAACTCTGTAATTTGCTTTTCACCCTTTTGAAGCAAGTATTTTTTACCCTAAAAGGACATTTTGAATATAATTTTTCAATTAGTTGTTTTTGTTGTTTTGCAAAATGATTGGTCTGCCTGTACTATCAAATAAGGTTACTGACTACATGCAGAAATGCAGTAATTTGTTAGTGGTTGTGGTTAGGGGAAAACAAGATTTTTATTTACATTGTGGTAATATCAAGGAGCTCCAGTCATGGCCCGAAATTTTGTTGTTTTAGATGCTGACCATACACAGGACAAAATGATGGTCCATGCTCCAAAGACCTTGTTTTAAGGATATTGAATCTTTCCTTTTCTCCTAGTTCTATCCTCTTTGTTAAGCCTGACATGCCTAGATGGGGACTCCCGGGTAGGTGACTGGGTACTCACCACGTCTGAGAAGAAGCTAGCCATCTCCTACAAAAGAGCTGACTCTTGTTAGTCACCGACCAATTCCTGTCAAAGGGGTGAACTGTGTTCCGTGCTTCCTTCCTCTTGTAATGCTTTTGCAGCAATAGTAAGCTGGCATCATGTGATCAAAGTTAAATTTTACTTTGAAGGTTTTTAGTTAATGAAATCTTTTTCAGCTGTTGTACAAGGTTAAGAACACTCAGATTAAATAGTTCAACCAATAGTTTCAACCACTATAGTTAAACAAGGCGGTCTTTTTGACAGGGAGTTTTCAAAGGAATTTGCAAGAGCACTCATTGATAGGGTACAGGTTTGTTTGCAGTATGAATTTTAAATGGGATTCCAATTATCCTAACTTAGTGCTCAGTCTAAGTTGAAAAAAGGGAGGAGGCATTCTAAGTAGAGAGCACCCTAGCTGGAATTTGGACACTGACCCATAGGCCTTTGACATAAAAGTGAATGGTTCTGTCTTAACATCCAGTGAACTGAAGCACATCATAACTTAATCATTAGTTAAGGCAACTGAAGTGCTTCATCATTTGAGCTTTGGTCACTATCTGCGTGGCTCTGCAACTGAACATCCTGTTCTAGAAACCTAATATTAAGCATCAGTTGAATTTCATTTATTGAGATTGGTGACTAAGATTCATTGTTTTAGGCATTTATTTAGTGATTTTACTGAAACTTGCTGTTAACCTAATCTTTCTTTTTTCTGTCTCTCAGGAAAAAAGTCAGTTAAAAAAAAGTCTAGCATTCTCTGTTATTGGGGTGATGTCAGTCCTCTTAGCTGGAGTTGCCAACACCTTTACATTTCATCCATTTTATCTTTTATTCCTAGTGTGTCCTTTCCTATTAAACACAAATTATTGCTATTGTTGTCTGATTGAAGTGGCTGTGTTATGCTTAGATACCTTTTGGGCTTTTAATTTCTGCAAGAAAATGGGACTCTTATTCTTTTACACTTCTTGTAATCTAGTTATGCCTTTATAAGCATTTTTAATTATCAATACTTTAACTTGGGCAACAGTTTTTACCAGCCCTGCAAATATCCTGTTAATGTCAAATCTATCCATTCCTTACAATTGACTTGTTTTGACCTGGTCATTGATTTTGTCACAAAAAGTAATTTGGTCTCTAATCTATTTGTTAACTTCAAATTCATGTGATTTAGTTTTATTATGTATGTGTGTGATATGATCTTACTTGGTAGCTGATTTTTTTAAAGGTAATGTGACTTTCTTAATCTTTAAAACTTCTGAATGACTCTCACCTTGGTAGTACTTTCATGCCTCTGTAGACTGTAGATCTCCAGTGCTTTGGGTCTGCCAATACACAGTAATGTATGGAGTATTTTACCCTCTAGTGGGGAGGGAAGATAAGCCACTTGAACGCTTCTCTTTTGATAGGTTACTTTAATTCAACATTTTAATAATTAAACAGAACTGTCAGGGTGTTTGTTTGGCCAACAATCTAAAAACATTTGAGGTAGTATAGTAGGTATATTGTCAAATACCCTGTTCTCTCCCAGTGCTGGAATTATAGAATTGTAGAAAATAAGGGTTGGAAGGGACCTTAGGAGGTCATCTAGTCCAACTTCCTGTTCAAAGCAGGACCACCTCAAACTAGATCATTCCAGCCAGGATTTTGTCGAACCAGGCCTTAAAAACCTCCAAGAATGGAGATTCCACCACCTCTCTAGGTAACCTATTCCAGTGCTTTACCATCCTCCTAGTGAGAAGGTTTTTCCTAATTTCCAGCCTAAACTTCCTTTGCTCCAACTTGAGACCATTGCTCCTTGTTCTGCCACCCCTGTGAACAGTCTAGCTCAGGGGTGGGCAATTATTTTGGGCAGAGGGCCGCTTACTAAGTTTTGGCAAGCCATCGAGGGCTGCATGATAGGCAGCTAAGTGCAGATGAATATTAATTTTCTAAATGTTTTAGGGGCCCTGTGGTCTGAATAGAATGGCCTGGCAGGCCGCATCTGGCCCCTGGGCCACATTTTGCCCACCCCTGATCTAGCTCCATCCTCTGTGGAACCACCCTGCAGGTAGTTAAGGGATGCTATCAAATCCCCTCCCAGTCTTGTCTTCTAAATGTAAGTGCAGTTTCCTGAGCCTCGTCTCATAAGCCATATGCCCCACCCCCCAACCATTTTTGTTGCCCTCCACTGGACTCTCTCCAACTTGTCCAAATCCTTTGTGTAGTGGGGGGCCCAAAACTGGATACAGTACTTCAGATGTGGCCTCACCAGTGCAGAATAGAGGGGGAGAATCACTTCCCTCAATCTGCTGGCAACACTCCTACTAATACAGCCCAGTATGCTGTTAGCCTTTTTGGCAACAAGGGCACTGATGACTCGTATCCAGCTTATTGTCCACTGTAACCCGCAGGTCTTTTTCTGAAGAGCTGCTGCTTAGCCAGTTGGTTGCAAGCCTGTACTGGTACATGGGATTCTTCTGTCCTAAGTGCAGGACTTTGCACTTGTCCTTGTTGAACCTCATGAGATTTCTTTTGGCCCAATCCTCCAATTTGTCTAGGTCACTCTGCATCCTAGCTCTACCCTCCAGTGTATCTACTGCTCTCCCCAGCTTGGTGTCATCTGCGAACTTGCTGCAGGTGCAATCTATTAGGGGCGTGAGAAGCAGACCATATTTGATTTGGATTTGGATTCGGCCCGATTTGGGGGACAGTGATTCAATTTGCTGATTTGGATCACTGTCCCCGTTTGATTCAGCCGAGTCTGAATCTGAAGATTCGATTCTGATTCGGAGAATCAGAGTTTCGGCCACAGACACAGCTTTATATGTTTTTTCTACATACCTTGAGGTACCAGGCACAGCTTGTGAATGCTGAGAAGATGGGGCAGATGGAGCATCCCATAGGAGCACAGGAGGGACCTCCGTGTGGTCAGTGGTGGACGCAGAAGTGGACTAGAAGTACTTCCAGTCCACTTCCAGGTCCACTACCGAGCGTGTGGGGAACCATCCCCACGCCCCACCCCCTGAGCTCGGCGACTGACTGTAGGGAGACCCAGGGTGCTCCCCCAGACCCAGGACGCACCAATTGCCGAGCTGGAGGTGGGAGGGGTGGGTCCCCCGTACGCTCTTCATTGAACCTGGAAGTGGACCAGAAATACTTCTGGTCCACTTCTGGGTCTGCTGCTAAGTGTGTGGGGGACCCCCCCCCCCCCCCACGCTCCCATGGGACGCTCCATCTGCCCTACCATCTCAGTGTTCACAGGCTGTGCCTGGTACCTGAGGTATGTAGAAAAAACATATAAAGCTGTGTCTATGGCTGAACCATCAAATCTCTCTGAATCAATTCAGAGAGATTACTGGGTCTTCTGATTCAATTCAGATTTGGCTGCTGAATTGGGCCGAATCTCCTCCAAATTGAATCAGCGACTGAAGCTTCACACAGCCCTACAATTTATCCCATCTTCCTGGTTGTTAATGAAGATATTTGTGGCGCCCACAGTTGGTGCTGTGAGTATGTTCCTGCCCTGCGGTCTGGGGCCTCGAACTCGCTTGCCACGACTTGATTGAAAATGTAAAGAAGAAGGGTGTTCAGTGGTGTTCCTACCCCCTCGACCCAAAGGCAGGGTACTCACAGGTTCACCGTGGCGGTCCTTAGGGCTCCGCCTCCCTTACACCCTGTCCAATCACCAGCTGCATGGGTCTTCGTGTTCCCGCCCCAACTTGGGGCTATGGCACCTGTGTCGGCCAAAAAGGGGGTGCACCCCACAACTGTGGTTACTGTGTAGGCTCCGACAGTCAGCCTGGCCACCCTGACCCCTAATCCAACCCTGAGGCCAAAGATACTGGCTTCAGGGTCTGAGCAGATAGAGTTGGGCGATTCTTTTAGGGAGAATCACCACCTTGAAGCCCTAATGCTCTGGGGCCAGGATTTGCCCATTCCTGGCCGGATGCCAGTTGCTGCCCCCGCTTCTCTGCCATGGGGCAATGTCAACAGGACCACTCCTGCTGGTGCATCAGGTCTCGGCATGCCCGTTGTTCTCCTAGCTGGCTCCCCGCTCGCCTGACTTCTGGCAGGGTTTTTAAATCCCCTGTGGCGGTGGGCCTAGCTGACATCATCAACTGGCGGCTGCCCAGCTTGATTGACAGCTGCTTTAAGAGCTGGTGAAATGCCGGCTCGCACGGCTCCTTCTGTGCCCCAGCCATTTTCAGAGGTAAGTTCTCTGTGGTGTGGGCATCCCTGTTTCCTTCTTCAGAAGTGTCAGGGTCTGTCCCTGGCGCTTCCGACCCCTGCGGATATCTCCTGCCACCACAATATTGAATGAAACCAACCTCAGGACCAACCCCTGGGGCACTCCACTTGAGATCAGCTTCCAACTAGACCTCAAGCTGTTGATCACTACTCACTGAGCCTTATGGTCCAGCCAGCTTTCTGTCCACCTTACAGTCCATTCATCCAGCCCGTATTTCTTCACCTTGATTGCAAGAATGGTGTGGAAGACTATAAAAAGCCTTGCTAAAGTCAAGGTTTATAGTCATTTGAATGGAACAATCACCTTTTTGAGCATAGAAAAAGACTTGACCAGTGGTCCCAATTTCAGTTCTGATTTTTTGTTTCATTAATATTCCACAGGGCATCTTTGCACTTGCTGATGAAGATCCTGCAGGGGACGCAGTTCTAGTAACATCTAAAAAGTAACTGAGATCAGGGATGTGACTCAGCACAAAGTTGGTTAGGTATTGCTACACCATGCCATTTTCATTGCATTTCTAAGAACTTTGGGGATTAATATACTCAACTAATATGTTTTTCATAGAGTAGGGCTGGCCAGAAAATGGAATTTTGTTTTACAAAGAAAAAAGCCAAGGTTTCAAAATCCTAATTCTGCTTTAATGTTCAATAAAGCAAGCCCACACTTTTTTTGAAAAATTTAATGGAAAACATATCCTAGGATGGTCAGGACAAGGTACGGTTATATTATTTGCCTGAGCTGTGTGAGAACCAGGTTTGTGTCCATGCTTTGCCTCATTCAGGCTTTCCATATCTCAGATGACTTCTATACCTGGCCCCTCAGGCCTTTTGAACTTTTAATTATTTATACAAAGTGGAGTATCTCTAAATTGAGAAAGAGAGACTTACTTTTAGGTGCAGAGAGTAAAGCAGTCCCCTGGGAGGTGACTGATCCAGGTTTCACTCTGTGCAGAAATCCCACCTGGATGAATTGCATTTATGACAGACTTTTCATAAAAATGTTCTAATCAACTAGTTATCATCAGCTGGACAGGGTTTACAATCATTGGATTAAGTTTTAAATAGTTGTGTTCAGCTCCAGCCAAGGTGGTTTGCAAACCTAAGTTTGTTCACAATGGCTTACAAACTAGAAATACAAACCTAAGTGATAATCTAGTAGTTTTAACATAACATTGCTCCAGTTTTGGTATGGTTTAGGAGGTTATCCATTTTGGATTTGTGTCCACTGCTAATGTAGACATAAAGCAAAATGACTGAGACTAACTACTTCAGGTAATCAACTTACTGATTATTTAAAATATGTATGTATATACATATTACATTCAAAATTGTCCTACTTGTCCTTAGGATGGGATTACATGGGCAGAGTTAAAGTTTGAATGACTTTAAAAGTATGTATATATCAGTTTGGCTTTTGTAAAGTAGAACCTTAAATTGAAATGTATGTGGCTGGGCAACTGTGGTGCCGATGAGATACTGACAAGGACTTTTGTATTACTGAATACCAGGGGATGATCTCCTATGAAGACCATTTGCATAAAATGAATATGGAGTACAGCAGTAAAATTCATTAAAGCTGACACTTCATAGATTTGTAGACATCTGAATGTGACATCACTTCCTGTCCCTTCTGTCCACATCAGACGTTAGTGCAAGCAGTAAACTCCTCTGGAGGATTGTTTTCAGTGACCTGGGCGCACGCCTTTCCAAATTTAAATGATGAAATTCAGCTTTGATTTCCATTATTGATTTGTTCTTTGTTTCTGGGAGAAACCGGTAGATGGAAATCCATGAGACAGAAATGAATCCCATAAAAACAAGGAAACAGAAGGTACCCAGGTTCTTCTAAAAAAGCAAAGCAAAAGACAATATAAGCAAATTCTTTTCCTGCTTTAATCTCAGGTGTTTTAGCTTGGGACTTTTAAAAGAAGACATTTTAATTTGAAATACTGATCTATAGAACAAGATAAGGCACTGGGTGGATAGAGCAAGCTTAGATATTCAGCTCAGGTCCAAGTGCCCTGTATCTGTGAAAAGGCATGTCTGGCTGTGGCCAGAAGCAAAGGTGTTATGGTTGTTCCAGAATCAAACCTCCTAGCTTGCTGGTATGTTACAGTGTCATTTCTTTGGCACAGAAATACCCTTCATGTTTTAATCAACTCCCAACAAAGTGAGCTCCATTTAGAGTCTCTTACCACTACATATGGGAAAACCATCCCAATTAAGCAGAGTCCTGCCCAGTGGAGAGACATGCAGATCATTAATGCAGGTAATCTGGATGACTGGGTGAAGAGTTCAGATATAACTGGGAATGTAACTCCAGCTGAAAAAGAAAAGGTTCTCAGAATACTACTTAATAATTAAATGCCTTTTAACTTCCAACCTATTTTTAATCAAATACAGTAACCATATTATGAACAGATCAAATTCAGATTTCATACCATGTTTACAGTGGGGCAATTCTAAATTGGTGGCATTCCTCCTGGTTTACAGTGGACTTTTTTGTTCAAACCAGCTTTTTTTGTTCAAAGTTGCCTAGCATAACAGAAAGAAAGAAGCTCATTTTTGTGCATCTTACTGAAGTAAATAAAAGACTTTTTTTAAAGAGCCTTTTATATGTCATGTCTGATTTTCACTGAGATTGCATGCTGTGGCATAAAAGCATATAGATTGTGGAATTAGTTTCCAAGAAATTCTCTCATTGAAAGGATTTCCTTATGCTATACATAATAGTTAGATTATGTGTTGTTCAAACCCACAACTCTGCAGAGCTATCAGGAGAAGTGACTATATGCAGAATAAAGCTGTACTAAATTTTAAATTCATATTATATCAAACTTATTTTTCCCCAGTTATCAGTATAGTTCCTCCACCTTAGTTTATTTAGATGCCCTGCATTCCCTTTCTAACCCCACTTCTTCCCTGAGGATGTGTTCACATAAATTGTTTTCCTTCCCTCCTCAAATTTATGAACAAACCTGGTCCATTTCCGAAGAAGATAATGAATAAGAAGATCAGAATGACGCTGCAGTAGGGCATCCAGAAGAACTGATGCTAAAAGGAAAGAAAAGGGTGTGAACTAATTCTAATTTCTAGCACTGGAGATTTCTGGGAAATTTCCAGTGCTAGAAATCTTTTTGGGAGCCATCCGTTCTCTGCTGCTCTCCAGGCTTTCCCAAACACCAGTGAAGTGGGGCAATCCTAGTATGGGGAAGGCGTGTGGAATAGTGCCTGCTCCACTTCTCCTGTTCTCCAGAGGGGGAGGAGTGGAGTGGAGAGGAAAGACACCCCATCTTTCCTCAGGCTGGGGTGACCCCAATCTGGGGGACATGTAGGGAGCAGTGGCTGCTCTTCCCTTCCCTTCCCTTCCCTTCCTGGTCTCGATTCCCCAAGCTGCACTCTCTGTGCATTCCCCAAACTGGGGTGTCCTCATGCTGGGGAACACGCATGGAGCATTCCTCAGCTGCCCAACTCCCAGTCCTGGGAGGAGTTGAGCTGCTGGTGCTCTCTGAGTTTTCTCCAGATTGGGGTGACCCCAGTCGTTGAAAGGTGCAGGGAGCATTTTACTGCTTCATGACTCTTAGTTTCAGAGAAGTGGAGTAGTGGGGAAGTGTACAGGTGTGAGAAGCATTCCTGTGTGCGAATCTCCCATGCAGGCAAGGCAAGATCTTCCTCACTGAACAAGGAAGATTATACTCCAAAATCAGGCATGCTTCCCATTGGAGAAGTTGAACAGATACTTGTATGCACATAGCTTCTACCAGGAAAGTGGCATTTCTTCTGGTTGAAACCAAATGCCTGTACATGGCTAAGGAAAGCACAGACAGCATCTCTTAATATATTAAAAGAGGTTAGTGTACTTGTTTCTTTCCATCATGATTTGAATAATCTTAAAGACTCTAGGTCTGAACAAACTTCCTTCTGCTGTTGGGAGAAATTCTTCAAGATTCATCAGAGATGGAACAGTTTAAAAATAACCAAACTGGTTGTATAATGAGCACTTTTTCATAAAGACAAGAGCTCTAGCCAGAGAGATCATTGACAAAAGACACAGAAAATGTGTGTTTCTTTACCTGCAGAGTGAGAGTTGTTGTGAGGCGAGCCAAGACCAAAATCATCAGTCCATATCCCCACAACAGGAACATTCTTCTTCCAGACTGCTCAATGATGAAGGCCTGAAGAACACAAAATGCAAAAGTGATAGTCAAGCACCAGGATCATATCATAGGTTTGTAAACCACCTTGGCTGGAGCTGAGCACAACTGTTTATTTAAAACATAATCCAATGATTGTAAACCCTGTCCAGCTGATGATAACTAGTTGATTAGAACATTTTTTATGAAAAGCCTGTCATAAATGCAATTACTTCAGGTGGGATTTCTGCACAGAGTGAAACCTGGATCAGTCACCTCCCAGGGGACTGCTTTACCCTCTGCACCTAAACTAAACCCCTCTTTCTCAATCATATTTGGTATTTTTCTGTACAATAATCTCTTTGAATTGCATGATCATATAATCAGATGAAGATTTCATGGGCTTTTATTGCCTTTAGTCATTTAAATTTTTGTTAGGGATATTGATGAATGCTTTCGCATCTTTTTCCATACTGTATGTTGGACTTCACGCACAGCAATTGCTTGTATGAAAAACTGAAAAAGTTTGGAAATGTCTCTGTTAAGGGATGCCAATTTCAGCTAGACAAATTCAAACCCAACATTAAGTCAGATTTTTAAGAGTGAAGGTAATTAACTATAGGAGTAATTTATAGAGGGTTGCAATGAATTATTCACTACTGGGCACTTTAAAATCAAGATTGGATTCCCTCTCCCATAAAATGTGCTGTAGTTCAAATAAGAATTTCTTTGGGAAACCTTATGGCATGTCTTATGCCAAGGTCATAAGGGTCCCTTTTGGCTTTATAATTGGTGACTGTATGGAGAAGAGTGATAGAAGTCCTGTTGTGCAGCAGCTTTCTTGTGCTCAACATGTCTCTTTTCTATCTTTCATGAATTCCAGTCTCTTCAAGAATGGAACTGACAGCTGTTGTGCTTCCCAAATGAAGGGAGATGTCAGTTTTGTGGATTAGATATGATGAGACTATTCTGCGCTTACTGCTGCATGGATTTCTCCCTATCACATCTATAAAGGCAAATTCCATTGAGTGATCTTTTTCTCTCTCTTTCAGTACTTTTTTGTAAGACTAATGGGATGATTTAAGTATGTAAAGGAGGAGCTCCTGAGGTTAGGAGGAGTCAAGAGCTCTAGCTCTTTCCCATCTCAATTGTTTTTGATCGAGGGCCTAAATCAACATTTTGCTTAGCATGTAGTGAATAGCTAGAGTTCTTTTGCTTGCCAAGGTTTCTGGGCTTCTTGCCTGTAGGTATTGCAATAAATTTGGTTACTGCTAGGTGAGCTGCAGCTTCTTTTAAAAACCTCATTGCCAGAGCTGTGCTTAATTAAAACGTCCCACCACTATAGGTTCTTCAGTAGGAGAAAGGCGGGAGCTCTGGTATAAGCAAGGCACTGCTGTGTCTGTTTGTGTTGATACCATCATGTCACTCAGACTTGCTTTGAGGCAGCTGAGATCACTTGGTGATACAAATGCTGATATCTTTTCTACAGTCGACTACCCAACAAAGTCAAAACAGATGAAGAGTCTGCTACTTCACATTGGGTGTGTCTACACGTGATGTTTATTCAGCACTTGACTAATTAACTGAGCAGTAAACATCTCTGCTGCTACAGATGCACCTCTATTAGGGTGTATGAAACTAATAAACTCCACAGCAGGTTAGGACTTCAAATGCTTGTAAAACTTGCTGTGGAGTTTTTTAATGTGCAGCAGCACATGTGTAGATGCTTCCCCAGCTAGCTGGGGCACAGAGTGCTTCAGCATGGGGCTAGCCAGTAGGCAGACCCTGCGCTGAAGCCCTTTCATGCCCCCACCATCTGCTCCGCAGCACGAGGAGCCCCACTGGAGCAGCCAGCCCAGGGCTGCTCTGATGGGACTCCATGTGCTGCGGAGGGACTGACTGGGGCATGAGGGTGCTTCATCATGTGGGCTGCCTACTGGCTAGCCCTGCACTGAAGCATCCTTGTGCCTCATCCAACTTCTCAGCAGCATGTGGAACCCCATCAGAGCAGCTCTGAGCTGGCAGGTTGACCTGGGTCCCCTGCTAGCCACGGCTGCTCTGATCAGGCTCCATGTGCTACACATGAATAAACTGTGAAGCAATAAGCTCTGGAGTTTGTTCATGCACATTAATTTCATGTGTAGACACACCCAAAATTGAGTGCTTTTACAGCGTAGACCTATCTACCACCCTGGTTGTGGACATTCTACAGATCACCCAATTCTTGATCCAGTGCAACTTACACACAATATGGAGGAGAAGAGCTCACAGGTCCCAAGTCCCAGAGATATGTAGGGGATGTGTTCTTGATCAAACCCAGCTGTATGGAACACCTCAAAGGAGTAGAAGTAGATCTGGAAAATGTAATAGAAGAACGTTTCAGAAAATGTGAACTTCTGCAAGATGAGTTATGGATTGGATGTCAAAGAGTTGATTGTTTTATCTAGTCATGCCAAAACTCAAGATGACAATGGGAAAAGATTTTGAACCTAAATCTAGTACATGTTCAGCCATCATTCTGAGCTCCCATTAAATTTTGCCTGTGTTTCAGAGAAATACCACCAGGAGTAAAGAACTTAAGAGACAAAACTTGTTCCCCATATTCACACACAACTCTCACTGATTTTTGTGGAAGTTATGAATAAGTAAAACAACTGGATCGGGTCCCAGATATTCAGCTGCAGAAGTGTACTATATTACCCTTGCTAAATGTTATAGGTACAAGGCTGGCTGTTTTGAGAAACACTGTGAGCTAGGTCCTCTATGTAAATTGTTGAAGCTTCATTGGAATTGATTAACATGAATTGATTTACAATAGCAGAAGATCTTGTTCAATTTCTCTGGCTTCAGATGGAAAAAAACCCTTATGTTGTTAACAATAACAAAAATATGGCTATAGCCATTTAGGGCTGGATGTATTTCAGATAGCTTTGGACGTTCTTGCTACTTCTGCAGGAAAGGAATGCTAGCGCATTGTGGAAATGATGGAATTCACAGAGAAAGGCTCCGAGGGAATATTGTATTTAAATGCAGAGTCTGTAGTGGTCTCTGGGTGCATCCAGATGAGCGTGGTCATGCAGTATGTGTCACCACAAACATGTTTGCAGCACCACATACCACACAGTCTGGTTTTCTTTGCGCTACAAGGCCACGCTGCCTGTGTGTGTGCTGCTTCATTTTTTTCTGCAGGTTTTTTTTGACCCCTGGATATCCAGGGGTCAAAAAACCATGGAAAAATGAACCCAGAGTAATGCACGCTCAGGCAGCAGGCTCTGCTGAAAAGTGGAGCTGGGCCACCCAGAGCCATGCTGCGGCTGCTGGCCAGGCTTTGCGTGGCAGAATTACTGCAACTGCAGGCCTGGGAAGGCCCCCACAGGACCCCAGGTAAGGCTGCTGGGGCCAGCCCAGTGCTGGCCCCAGCCTCCCCTACCCCATCTGGGGCAACTTGCCATGTGTGAAAGCACGTGTAGCGTGGGCATTCCCTGGGGACAAGTAGCGGTGGTGCAAGGTGCACTGTTGCTACTTGTCCCTGGGGAACCAAATGTCCACACATGTCTGGATGTGCCCAAAAAGATCATGTAGAAACACTGAAATCCTATACTGGATCAGCTAAGTGGCCTAGTTAGTCTGATATCCTTTTCCTGAGAGTGACTAATAGCAGATTTTTCAGGAGAAGGTGTGTGTGACAGTGAACCTTTGGTGCCCGCCACTTCAAGGGCTGAAGCAGGCAGCTGACTGATGCCTGATGAAGGCGGCCATTTACAAACAAAGGTCAGCCAGGCAGAGACAGCAGTTAGCCGCTTGCAGTCAAGGGAGCAGCACCATCTAGCTCCCTTGCGGCGTGGAGCATCCTGGCGGTAAAGGCAGGAGCTATGGGGATGGTTTGGAGGCTCCTGGTCCTGAGCACGACCAAAAGCTGTGCCCTGCCAGGGAAGGAAGGCCCGGTGGCACTGCTGGTGGTGCGGCAGCCCCACTCAAATACCAGGACTGCTCACCTCCCTGGTGAAAGGCAGGTCGGGGTGCCTTAACAACCTCAGCCCCCACAACACTGTGAGTAAGGGGGCCAGGCATGGCTGCGGCCACCTGAACCCGCAGGGGTGAAAGAGGCCCCAGGGAAGGGATAGTTGTGTAGGCCCAGAGAGGGGGCAGTCATGGAGCCCTAGAGAGAGGGAGTAGTGGAGGCCCTGACGGGGGTAGAGTAGGACTGAGGGTTGGTCTGAAAGGCAGCCTCACGGGGTGTGCTGAGTAGGGCTGTGGGACAGCCAGAAGGGCAGCACATGGGCCAACCCCGTAAAATCAAGTTGTTGTGTGTGAGAAGCCCGGTGAGGGCCAGGAGGTCAGCCACAGCCAGATGAGTCCAAGGTGCCAGCTCTGAGCAAGCAGGGTCCTGCCACTGGCCTCCCTAGCAGGAATTGTGGTGTTCCCTATTGGAAACGTGAAAAATCCCTGATTAAAAAAAATCCCAAAGTCACTCTCAAAAATACCGCCAAATCCATGTTCCTCCACAAGTAAAACAAAAGACCACTATAAAAAGAGAGAGAGAGTGAGACGGAGACAGTGATCAGTTGGACAATGTTTTATTGATACATCTACAGTGTTAAAGCAAGTCTCTTATCATAATAAAATACAGGTTTCATGAATTCATGAATACATATTTTGCTGCCCTCCCACAGGGCAATGTCCCCCACACAAGGGGTTGGTCCCCGACACAATGGCTACGGCCCCCCTACAGAAGGGGTTCAGCCCCTCAACAGAGGGTTCAGCCCCCACACAGGGGCTACACCCCCCCAACAGGGGAGTCAGCCCCCAACAGTCCTAGTGGACTCCAAGATGAACATGAGTCGGCAGTGTGACGAAGCCATCAAAAAAGCCAATGGCACTTTATCGTGCATCAGCAGATGCATGACGAATAGGTCCAAGGAGGTGATACTTCCCCCCTCTCGGGCGCTGGTCAGACCGCAGTTGGAGTACTGCGTGCAATTCTGGGCGCCGCAATTCAAGAGGGATGCGGATAACC